AGGAAGCAACTGGGCCGAGAGAGGGGTGGGAGTTTGGGCGGGTGTTGTGGGCTGGGTTTGGCGGCTGATTAGGTGGCGGAAATGCGGTGGGGTGCTGTCCTCCATGGAATCTAGAAATGAGTAGTCGGAAGGAGACTGTGGAGGTGCAAACGGAAAGTTGGACTCATCAAAGGTGACATGGCAGGACACGATGATTTTATGAGTGGCAAGGTCCAAGCACCGATAACCCCGCTGGGAGTCGGGGTAACCAAGGAAAATGCACCACGCAGAACGGGGGGCAAGTTTATGGGGGAGGGTGGCGGATAAATTTGGGTAACATAGGCAGCCAAAGACACGTAGGTGGGTATAGATGGGGGGTGTTTTATATAGGGCTTCATGGGGAGTGCGGTTTTGAAGGGTAGTGGTTGGTAATATGTTGAAGAGGTGAGTGGCCATGTGAAGGGCTTCTACCCAGAATTGAGGAGGTAAATTAGCTTGAAAGAGTAGAGTACGAACGGTGTTGTTTATGGTGCGGATGGTGCGTTCTGCGCGACCATTTTGTTGGCTGGTGTAGGGACAAGAGAAACGAAAGAGAATACCCAAAGACTCAAAGAATGTGGCGAGAGGGTTGTTTCGATATTCTGTGCCATTATCACACTGGACAGCTTTGATGGTGGTTTGAAATTGATTTTTGACCAGTGCATTAAATTTGATCAGGTGAGAATAAGCATCAGATTTGTGACGTAAAGGAAAAACCCATAAGTTGTGCGAGAAATCATCAAGTAATAACATATAAAATTTAAATCCAGTCACACTGGGAACAGGAGATTGCCATAAGTCTGTATGCATTAATTGAAAAGGAAATTGAGATACACGAGTTGAAGAATAAAAAGGTAGGCGAATATGTTTGCCTAGTTGACATGCATGACAAAGAAACTCTAGTTTTGATGTATTATTGCTATCTAAAAATGAAGAGATGCCACGGAGCACAGCTAGGCTTGGGTGGCCAAGTCGGCGATGCCAGGTAGGTAGGTCGACTGTGGTGAGATTTGCTTGAGCTGGGGGGCGGGCTGAGGAGAATGGGTAGAGGTGTCCGTCACTACTGGATCGATGAATCACGGCTCCCGTCAGTTTGTCCTTCACAGAGAAACCAGATGAGTCAAATTCAACTGTACAGTTGTTATCAAGAGTAAGTTGACGGACAGATATAAGGTTGTGGATAATATGAGGGGAAATTAGGACATTATTAAGTGAGAGGGTTGGTTGGTTTTGAGAGAACCGTTGCCAGAACCGGTGGTGCGAACTTTAGATCCATTTCCTACAATGATATGAGAAGGTGAATAAATGTTTGAAGAAAATACATGAGATAAAGTACCTGGGTTGCCGGTGATGTGGTGAGAGGCGCCGGTGTCCATGAGCCAAGTGGGATGCGGGTTTAGGGTGAGGGTTTCAAGCCCATGGGCAAGGGCGGTGGGTGAGGTGGGTGTCGGGTATGGGGCT